AATTTTGTCTTATGTTTCAGGTGAGAATAGAGGCAAAGAATGGTGTACAGTGGTCATACTTTTTCTTGAATGTTTGTACCATTTAACAAATAAGATCAGAAAATGCTCTACCTACTGCCTTTTTCCAAAGTTATCCCTCACTGGAAGAAGAAAAAAAAAAAGCAATAATATAGTTAGCAATTATCAAGGAGTAAGAAATGATTGCTGGGTTTAGGCCAATGGTAGAATAAAGCATTTTCTTTCAAAATCCTGCAGAAGTCCATAGAGAAGTGAGTGGCAATTGCTAAGCATTATTTGTTCCCAAGATCATATTTTCTTACATGGGTGACCTTGGACAAAACATTAAAACTTCATTATATGTCAAGACACTCACTGCTCTACCATTCCTCAGCAGTTCCCCATCGTTTGAGGATGACGTTGTGACTACTCTGAATGGCATAAAAGATTCTTCACAACCTAACCCTTGGATGCCTCTTCAATCTCATGTCCTAACACTCATACATCCCCCCATCACCACAAATGTATCACAATTAATTATTGTAGATCTTAAGTGGACTGTGTCTGTAAGCCCCCTTGCCTTCCTTTACTTATTTAATAAATATTTTGGGGGTATATACTGTGTGTCAGACACTGAGCCAAGGGCTAATAATAAATGGTGAGCAAGGCAACATGATCCAAGGCCTCATGCAATTTATGGTAGAGTGGGGATAACAAAGAAACAGAACACCCCCCCACACACCAACAACAACAATAAATAAATAAATATAAATAAAATAATTATAGATTGTGATAGGTGCTGGGAAGGGAAAATAAACAGAGGGTTAACATAGAGACAAAAGGGAATGATGAGTGTGAGGTGGTGACATTTGGTATGTGCCAGGTGAAGACCTGGGACAAAGACTTCCAGACCAAGAAAAAAACATATACAAGTTCTAAGTATGGAAGATTTTCTAAAGTTCGGTGAATTAATAAAGGCCAGTGTGGCTGGAGTATGGTGTGGAGGACATAGCATGAGGTGAAGGTGAAGAGGTAGCTTCAGATCAAGCAGTCCTATAGCTCATAGCAAGGAGTTTTATTCCAAATGCAATCAAAAGTTATTGGTTAGATTTAAGCAAAGTTGTAACATGGCTTAATTTATGTTTTAAAAAGATTGTTCTGGCTTTGTGTGATGAATGAATAAAAGAAAGACAATAGAGAAAGTGGGTGGAACAGTTACTTAGGCTATTCTGGCAGACCAAAAAAAAGGGATAATAGCAGATGCATTCAAGAGATATAGGGGGGAAGAATTATCAATGCAATTGAATTTTTCTGTTTTCTGACTTATTTCTATTACCTTAAAGTCCCAAACCAAGCATCCCCTACAAACTAAGCTACTTTGAAAGCCTCTTAATCCCACAGGGTTAGAGACCCCCTTGTTCTCTAAGCAGCCTGTCACATGGCTCTACAATGTGACATACCATAATATTGACTTCCTTGCCTGCCTTCTGTAAGACTGTGAACTATTTTTAGAATAATGGCTGTGTCTTGTCCATTTCTGTATCCTTGGCCTGAGAACAGAGCCCAGTGTGTAAGAGGTGCTCAGTAGATGTCAAATGTGTGTGTGAATCTTGCCTTCTAGATTGTTGGAGAGCTCTTCACATGACTTGCAACACTGAACGGAAGCCAGATCTAGGCACTTGGGATTGATTCTGATATTGAAAGGATTGTGGAAGAGCTTCTGCATACCAAAGACACCTACATGTATTAGAAGTGACCAACACATCCCAGACAGGAAGCCAAATTGATTTTCCAAAGCCACTTTGGGGGGAAGAGTTCTTGACTAAGGTAGACTTTCTCAAAAGTGTTTTGAGTTCCATTTCTAAACCTTGCTGTGACATTTACAGTTCAGAAAAGCTTGCAGCACATAGCTTACCAGACACTGTCATTTTTGACAAGGAGTTTGCATTTATCAGTCGTGTGTCTGGGAACTGTTGGGCAGAATCATAACCAAGCTGTCACCAGGGCCTCCTATTACCTTCAAGCAGATTCATTTTAATTCACCTCCATAAAGATTTAAGTGCCTAACATGAAACTTAAGGTGTTGTGCCTGGCTGTTAAAATAGAGATTGATGTCAGAATATTTCTAAAAGATCTCTATTCATAAGGAACTCACAGCCCTGTGGGGCAAACAACTGAACAGGCATTGCTGTTGAGGACGATAAGAAGTTACAGTGTGTACATATAACATTATATGTATGCACGTAGTAAGAGAAAACATAATAATTTATGTTTTCTTCTGGAAGGAGGAGTAGAATGTATATTTGTCAAAAGGAACTTAACTTGAACTGGATTAGTAGTTTACCTGTCTCTCTCTGTCAGCTTCCCAGATGCAGGGAAGCCAAAGGCTTAAAGGCATTGGCTTCAGAGATAGACTGTCTGGGTTCAAATCAATTACTTTATGACCTGTATAACCTCTACCAAGTTATTCAACAATTATTCACCCCAGCTTACTCAACTGTTAAATGGGATAATAATAGTACATACCCTGTAGTGTTGCTATGAGGATTAACTAAGTTTGTACGTAAGAACATGATAATGTCATTCCAGGCAGTGAAAATAGTATGACCAGAAGCAATGGGTGTCCATGGAATGTCAAGGAATTGCAAATCTCTGTGAACAGATATATGGTATATTTGAAGAGGGAGATTGGAGAAGAGATTGGAAACACAGTTTGTGGCCCAGATCCTGAAGTGTTTGTAAAACATGCTAAGAAATTTGGATTTGATGCTATAGGTAATGAGGAGCTGCCAATGGTTTCAAACAAGGAAGTGGTGTGACCAGATCTATGTCTTAGAAAGACTCTTTTGTCAAGAGTAGAAGGGTTGGACTAGAAAGGGAAAGAATGAAAGGCAGAGAGTCGAAGCAAGTGATTATAGCAGTAATCCATGAGAGATGATTCAAAACCCATAATGAACAATAGGGAATGCTAACCTGCTCAGTTTAAGGTTTCTCAGGTATTTTGACCATAGGATTCTTCTTTCCTGATATAATATTCCAAGAATTCCTCAGGATTCAGTTTGGGAATGCTAGCTTAACACCTGCTAATTAAAAAAAATTTTTTTTTTAATTTGCTCCCTTTACATTTTTCTGCATCTCAGATTTGCTATTCCTAGCACCCAGCAGGGAATCATGATCACAGACAGAGCTACTTGTACATTATCTGACATGGACAAGTTAGCAGATCAACGAATGAGCAAGTGTTTCATGGAAGCTGAGTTTATGCTGAGATCTTTGGATTTGCACATCAGCCAGTCCTTTGCCATAATGTTCTCTTCCCTTTGCCAGAGAAGCTTTGTGAGGAGAATAGTGTGATAAAAGTTGTATTTGAGGAATATTAATCTGTTGTTGGCCTATTTGGGGTGGTGTAATGCTCTGGAAGCTTAGAATTCCCTTTCCAATGCATTTGGTGCAGTTCTCTCTGAATATAAAAATAACAAATCCTTAGAATGTGCTAGGTATACTTACCTATAGCAGTAATCCATGAGAGATTATTCAAAACCCAGAATGGGGTATGAACAGTAGGGAATGCTAACCTGCTCAGTTTAAGGTTTCTCAGATTATTTTGACCATAGGATTCTAAGTGCTACATACTTGGACAATACACACACACACACACACACACACACACACGCACACACACACACACACACACACACACACACACACACTTATTCTTCATAATAACCCTATAAGGCAGAACTGATATTTTCCCTATTTTATGGATGTGCTGAGTCACAGAGAAAGCCAAAATCACATAGCTAGTAAAAGGTAAAACAAGGAGTGTCAGTGGCAACAGCTGGTGTGTGAAAGAATGTGTGAGTGAATGAGTGAGGGAGTGAACAGAGTAAAAGAACAAGAGATTATTAGTAAGCATTAGAAAAGTAAGAAGAAATTAAGGACAGTTTAAGGACAACATTAGAAGCCAAAACGGGAAAAGAGGCCCCTGGTTAACCTGGGCAGTATTCCAAAGAAATTACTCTTCAAATGAGAGAGTTTGAAGTAGTGGTAGTAAAGAAAAAAAAAAAGTGAAATTCACTCAAGATTACAGTAAATAGGGCACATTGGGAAAGTTAACACATTTCTCTGCTGTCAAGATCAAGCTCTTGTATTATTATTGGCTTCTATAAGTGGCATTTGAAACAGATACCATTTCAACTGCAAAGAGTTTACTGAGTAAGACCCAAGAAATGTTTTCAATTTGCTGGATTCCGTGACCTCGAGAATAGAAATGGCATCTGTGTATCTAGAAAGAGGTGCAGAATATGTCCTATGGAAGGCTTGCTGACACAGTTCTAAACAAGACATCAGTCCCTGAACCTGTCCATAAGCATGTACCTAGCCCTGTGTTAGGTGTTGTCAGGGACAAAAGCATAAATATTATCAATCAATAAACATTCCCAAAGTATACACTAGGGCTAAATGGATAAGATATAATCCCTAATCGCAAAAACCTCCTAATCAACTAGGAGAGAAATGGTACAAACACAGCGATACATTTAGATGACGGGTTTATAAAAACTCCTGTCCCAATAAAACATACCTAGTAAAGTGTACTATGAAAATAAAGTACAGAGTTATATAATAAGACCAAAACCACAAAATAAATTTAAATAAGAATGGCTCAATAAGGATTCAAGACAGGAGAAGGAATTTCAGGTGGGTCTAGGTTATTAAATAAATGATGAGGAGGAGGAGAAAAATGTTTCAAGAAGGAAAGAGAGCAGCAGTACTTTTTTTTTTTACTTTTTTTTTTCAACGTTTATTTATTTTTGGGACAGAGAGAGACAGAGCATGAACGGGGAGGGGCAGAGAGAGAGGGAGACACAGAATCGGAAACAGAGAGAGCAGCAGTACTTAATGCTGATTACAAATCAGGGACACTGAAATGGTTAAAAATATAATAATCATAATCATAACCATAATGTCTTTGGGCTTCCTCATTGAAGAAAGATTTCACTGACCTTGACTTATGAAATTAATTACCCAAAGCATATAATGCTAACTGCAAACTGTTATTTCTTCTGAAAGCAAGGTCCATTCTTGGATGTTTCTGATTTCACTCTCCCCATCTTTCTACATTGGGGTTTTGGTCTTCAGAGTCCTATAGACCTTCTCTAACACTTTCAATTCTTGTGTTTCCAAGGTTGGCATCAATAGGCATTATGAGTCATTTGTTCACACAACATAGAAATTCTGCCTTCTTACTAGTTTAGAATTCTGTCCTTCTCTGACCCATCCTTGACCCCAAAAGAGGCACAGCTGAGCACTTATCCAATTAGGCTCATCCTTATGCTAAAGAGGTATGCCCAGGCCAGTATCATCTACACACTGTACTTTTATATGAGTGCACAGCTCATGTGTCATAGCAGGCAACCTGGTGCTGACATACAGCAAACCCTGATTACCATCAATCTGCTCCCAGAACCATGTACCCAACCATCACAAGATATCACTTTGGGGCTGACACCTTTGGGGCCTAGTCCCAGCCAGGATATGTGAGTCACCTAGGAATGACAGTCTGATCAAAATGCATGATGGATAGGGCCTAACCATCATCCCATCACTCATGAGCAAGGAGGCAAAAATTGTCAAGGTAGGGGTGTCAGGTGTGGGGAAGGTAATTTCTGACAGGTGATTAATGCCAGGAGCTAGCAATCATCCAGGTACTGCCAAGAGAAATGGGCAGTTGTATATATTTTTCTCTATGACAGTGTCTCCCTTCCCCCACTCTTGACCTCTGGTTTTACAATGTTGCAGAAAAGCCTCACAGATGATTTTTTTTTCTTTCCCAAATTCTAAATATTCATGCCACTCAAAATCTAGAGCTTATATACCTTCTACATGCACACCTACCCCAATGTAATTCTAGTTAAGATTTCATAGCCCCATTGTCTTTTGAAAATCAACTGATATCTCCCTAGTTAATGTTACTCTGATGGTTATTAAGGAAGCGATAGGTCAGTCTGCCTTGGGCCAAATCTTGGTTTTGTCTAAGGCCCTGAGAAAATGATTGTACTTGTCTTTGTCTCAGCCTTCTCACCCTATAAAATAAGATTGATTTGAGGATTAAAGGAGGATCTCTCACCTTTATGGTTTATGATAAATGCTTAATAAATACTATGTACTATGGTTACTGTCCCTCTGCTGTGCTTGTTATGTATGAGAAAATTTTCAAAAACTGCATATTTTGTGAAACATGGGATACCTGAAGGAGACAGATAAAATGGTCAAGGGTAGAGGGTACTTGGACACTTGAATTAAACCAAAATGAGTGTGGGTCCTTTGAGATAGGAATTAGAACAAAATAGCAAAAGACAGAGAAGAGAAGCCATGCTTGAAACTGCTGAGTTCTGGTCCTTCTCTCCACTGAGCCCCAGATAGCAAAACCATCAACTTATTCAATATGTGGAGGATTCTGTGGAGGTGGTACAGAACCAGAGGTGTTAATTACCCCAGGACTCATTGGTGCAGCAAGTGGTGAGGAGAAATCCCGTCTGAGGTCACAGCAGGAACAGGTGTAGATATGCTGAGCATGAACAGCTTCACCCAGGCTCCAGGCAAGAGACAGAAGCCACACTGGCTATTTTAACAGAGAGAATTTGATATAAAGGTTTGTTAGGTTTTGAAAAACTGAAAAGGCAAAGGAACTCTGAGGTATTACGAAGGTAGCAACTGCAAAGAGCAGCTTCAAGCCCTTTGGTCGAGGGAACCAAGGGGAGAGGCTATAATTATTCCAACTTAGAAGCTTGGAGCCCTGTGGAGCTGAGAGTCAGACCTCTGAGGAGGGGGTGCTACTCAGCTGAAGCCGGGGATTTTGAAAGATGTCATGTGCTGGTTTTTCGAGTATGGGAAAAACTAACAGGGTTCAGCTGCTGTTACCAGAATATGGATGCTTACTGGGGTGAAGAAATGAGGCTGAGAGGCCACTGACAAGAACAGGAAACCCATAGGAAGGAAGGAGCAAGTCCCTTCTCTCCACAGCAGCCTTGCAGTCTCCCTCTGGCAACTGCTATTGGACGCACCCAGGAAGGAGCCACTGGCAAAGCAGAAATACGTCGTTTGCACCCTTCCACCCCACAGGGACCCAAAGTAGGGTAGAGAAGGGTGGATGTGGTGCTGAGAAACAGTAACTTACTAACTGGCACACTGTCTATGCCACCCATCCAGATGCAGGATAAACATGCCTACTGTGTGCCAAAGACTAGAGACTAAGATGTACTACGTTACCCTCCAGGGACTCAGGCAAAGGAAGGAGAGAAAAAAAAACAAAGAGAATATGACTTGGAAACATGACTAAGAAATGTAAACCAGTGTGGGGGAGAGAGGAAGGATGGGAAAGAAACTGCCCAGAGCGACCAGTTAAAAATGAGATCTGCTGGATGAAGACAAAGAAAGTAGGTAGACACTGATATATGGAAGAACAAATCAGGAAGGGTCTTATATGCCACATATGGAATTGAGATTTTTTTTTTTTTCCTGAAGGCAATGAAAAAATAGTTTTCATCTGATGCAATAGGTTTATGTTTTGATCAAAAAGTTTTTGAAAGTGGTTAGGATGGCAGCAGACTGGTTGGATTTTAAAAATTGCAATAGTCTAGAAATAAATGTTTAATTGAGGTTTTTAAATAATTAATACATTTACAAAATAAAAATGATATGAAAGGCAGATATTAAGAAATCTCCCCTATAGATAACCATTTTCTTTTTTGATCAACCTTTTGATGTTACTTTATCTAAATACAAGTGAACATGAACATGTATTTCACTTTTTCTCCCTGTCTTGCACAATCTTTTCTTATTTCAAGCAATGCCAGAATGAGAGTCTCCAAAGTAAGATTTCTGGTCCAGTGGGTAAATGCTTTTGTAATTTTGGTAGACATTGCCAAACGCAGTGAAGATTTTCCTTTTCTAGATGTATCATTTTGTACTCCCACCAGCATGACAGGAGAGCCCCTCTTTTCTCACGGTCTGGCCAACAATGTGTGCTGTGAACACTTTTGGAATTTTGGCCATATGGTAGTTGAGAGATAGAATGTCAATGTAGTCTCTCTAAGTGAAATCGTGCTCTTGTTTCATGCTTAGGGACCATTTGTATTTCTTTTCTTCTTTTTCTTTTTTTTGGGGGGTCTCTATTTAGATCTTTTAGCTGTTTTTCTTTTGGGTTCTTTGGAAATGTTACTCATTCCCCACCCCCACCCCCCATTTTCTAAGGGTTGCAAATGTTTTTCCCAGTTGCTGATTTCTTTTTGAATTGGCTTCTGGCTTTTGTTTTGTTTGCCATGCAAGACATAGTTTCCTAATCTCGGTTTATGAAAGAATTCACACATTCATTCTATAAATACGTTTATTATTTTATTTTCACATTTAAAATATTTCAGTGCAGGAGCCTGTGTGGCTCAGTCACTTAAGTGTCCAAGTTTGGCACACGTCATGATCTTGCAGTCTGTGAGTTCGAGCCCCACATCAGGCTTGTGCTGGCAGCTCAGAGCCTGGAGACTGCTTTAGATTCTGTGTCTCCCTCTCTCTCTGTCCCTCCCCTGCTCATACTCTGTCTTTCTCTGTCTCTCTCTCTCTCACTCTCAAAAATAAATAAACATTAAAAAAATTAAAATACTTCAGTACATTCAGAGTTTATACTGATATACAATATGAGGCACAGATAGAATATTATCTTTCTTAAATGGCTACCCAGTGATGCTAATGCCTTTTATTAAAATGTCCATTTTCACCTCACTGATTTGAGATATCATTATTATCATATTTTAAATCTCCCTATATACCTAGGCTTTCTTCTGGAGATTTGTTCCATTCCATTGATCAATTTGTCTCATCCTGAGTCAATACCACACTGTTTTAATTATTGATGCTTTATAATATATAATATATGTTTTAGCTTGGTAAACATCAAGATGCCTCTTTTAGCTATTTTTTCAGCACTTGGATTTTTCTTTTCAATATATGAAGTTTATTGTCAAATTGGTTTCCCTACAACACCCAGTGCTCATCCCAAACGGTGCCCTCCTCAATACCCATCACCCACCTTCCCCTCCCTCCCACCCCCCAACAACCCTCAGTTTGTTCTCAGTTTTTAAGAGTATCTTATGCTTTGGCTCTCTTCCACTTTAACCTCTTTTTTTTTTTTTCCTTCCCCTCCCCCATGGGTTTCTGTTAAGTTTCTCAGGATCCACATAAGAGTGAAAACATATGGTATCTGTCTTTCTCTGTATGGCTTATTTCACTTAGCATCACACTCTCCAGTTCCATCCATGTCACTACAAAGGGCCATATTTCATTCTTTCTCATTGCCAAGTAGTATTCCATTGTGTATATAAACCACAATTTCTTTATCTATTTATCAGTTGATGGACATTTAGGCTCTTTCCATAATTTGGCTATTGTTGAGAGTGCTGCTATAAACATTGGGGTACAAGTGCCCCTATCAGCACTTGGATTTTTTGGAGGAGTTTTAGTTTTACAACAAAATTGAAAGGAAGGTCCGTAGGTTTCCCATATATCCTCTGCCCTGACACAAACATAGCCTCCACTATCATCAGCATCCCCCACCAGAGTGGTACATTTGTTACAACTGATGGACCTGCATTGATACATCATAATTACCAAGGTCCACATTTACCTTATGGTTCACTCTTGATGTTGTACATTTGGAGAAATGTATAATGACATGTATCCATTACTACAGTATCATACACAGAATTTTCTTTGTCCCACCAAATCCTCTATTTCTTGCCCACCCCACTACCCCTCCTTCTCCTGGCAATCACTGATTTTTTGTATTATTTCTACAGTTTTGCTTTTACCAGAATGTCATATAGTTGGAATCATATAGTAAGTCCCCTTTTCAGATTGGCTTCATTCACTTAGTGATACGCATTTAAGGTTCCTTTATGTATTTTCATGGTTTGATAGTTCATTTCTTTCTAGCACTAAGTAATATTCCTTTGTTGGATATACCACAGTTTATCCATTCACCTACTGAAGGACTTCTTGATCATTTCCACGTTTTGGCAGACATCCTTGTGCAGCTATAGAGCTGCTATAAACATCTTTGCCCAGGTTTTTGTGTGGACCT